CTTATGATTCTTCCCCTTTTTTTTGGAATAAGAGTTTTTTTCCACTTCACTAGTAAGATATTTGTTTCTACTATTCTCTTTGGGCGGAGACATAGAATCGGACGAGCCCTTTAATTCTTCCACAGGAATCCAGATTTTAATATCTCCCACTTCTCCTTCCTCCAAATCCTCTTCCTCACCACTAGAACAATTTTTACGTTCACAAATTTTAGAAGAAGTACTTTCATTATCACTACTATAATCAGTCTGATTATGTTGAAACTTAGCAACACCAATTCCCAAGTTCTCCACATCAACACCCCCATTATTAATAAGAGCTCTTTCTTGGTTAACAGCCATATTCAATGAATCAAGCATTACCTCATTTAGATTATCACTCGTTCCAACCACCCCCTCTTTATGAACATGATTATCATCTCCTTCATCACAGATTCTTATGGAAGAATCAAGGGCCTGACCGACTGTATCATTTCCAGCTAACATAGGGCCATTAGAAGTGAAAAGGGGAGCAATGGGTAATTCCTTACCATTTTCATGAGGACTAATTAAATCAGCAATGAGAATACCTTCCTTAGGAGCCGAAATTTCCACTTTCTTGGAACCTTTATCATTGTTCCTCAAGTTAGGATGGACCACAAAATAATTAGACACTGCATGCCCATGAATTTTGCAATGAGCACAAAAATCAGGAACATTCTCAAAATCCACCTTTTGAAGGTAACCAGTATTTTCAGTGCTAATCCAGATCTCTCTGGGATGATTTTTGGTTATATCGATTTCGACCAAAATCCGAGCAACCGAGGGACGGGAACGATTAGCCGTAGCTTGATCCGTTTGTAGGGGCCTCCCAAATATAGAACCAAGAGCATGTAAAACATTTGCATTAAAAAATGTAATCAAAGATTAGGAAAAGCAACCCAAACGGGGACAATAGGCGACTCTTCTTTGACATCAAAGAAGGGTGTCCACTTAAGAAAGCGCATTTGACAGTTCAAAATATAGTAAGACCTATGAGCAAACACACGACTATAATCTAAATCATTAGAAAGTTGAATAGAGATATGCCTAGAATCTAATAAGCCAATAGAGTAATTCCCCGAAAGCTTAAGTTTACCAAAGAAAATCTGAATAGCATCTAGATTCGGCCGGCGCACAGAGAACTTGCCTACCAGAGTAAATTGATAAGGAATAGCTAGTTTTAAAATATCCTCTTCCGACAAAAGTAAACCAGGAACACCTTTAACCACAGATTTCGTGAAAGACAAAGCATGGTTAAGAGAAGAATCCGAACCAGCTAGAACGTCGTGAAAGGACCGAGAGGAAGAAGCAGGTTTACCATCAACCAGTAATCCTTTAGAGTTAGCAAGCGAAGCAGACGGAGGTCCACCCCAAGCATCAGGAGGCGAGGACGAAGACATGCCCTAAAAAACAGGGAGAAACTCAAGGGGGGGAGTCCCCCCAAGAAATAAAAGAAACGAACTCGCACCAAACCTGCAAACAAAACCTCCGAGAACGAAGAGGAGAGACCACAACGAAGAAGCAGGAGAATTGCCCGAAAATCGCCAGTTGCGGCTAGGGAGAAAAAAAAGGATGACAAGTCGATTGTTTAATATATATGCATGTTACAAACATTTTAAGTCCATATTGACGAAAATCTTATTAGGATATTTTCTTTTTAATAATAATAATAATAAATATTACTCTTATCAGTTTCAATGTATGGATTATATAACAAAACAGAAAATAGATTTTATATTATAATTTTAAAATAATAATAATAATAACAATAATCTTCTACTCTTTTATTCAGTATAATATAATCTCAAACTATGGCTTCTAATATATATATTGCGGAAGTCCTCCATTAAGTAGTTTTTCACCGTCCAACATAAAAAAAAAAATATTTCTCAAACTATGGCTTCTAATTTATATGGTGAGTAATCTCCAACTATTACTTTTACTTATTAATGAAATTTGTATCTCTCGTAGGCCTTATGATTATTCAAATTAAAGATTTTTTAGAAAAATGAATTCATTTCTTAATTATTTGTTTAAGATGTTTTTAAGACTAGAAACAACTTACTGTAATATTTTTTAAACTTTAAATTTTATCTTATTTAAAATATAAACCTACATTTATTGAAATTATTATAGATCACAGCTCGATTAATAAGCTAAAAAGATATGATAGAACATAATTATTAAAAGGATCAATTATGGAGTTAATTTATATAATATGAGACTGGTCACAAGAATTAAATGAGACTTTCATTAATAATACAATATAGGTAATGATTGTAGTAATCATTTTAGGTGATATCCTAAAAAAATTATATCTTCAAAATAATATATCAATAAGAATCACTTTAAATAATAGTAATAAAAGAAAAAATTTATTATAACGTACATAATAAAATTAACACGGCAAATTTTTAAGCCCACCCTAATGAGAATTCTTCAGGTTTTTTTTTTATTTTGATTTTTTTTTAACCCGATTAATGCATCGATTTCACGAAATGCGGAAGTTATATATAAGATGTGACGTCCAAAAATTGGGGAGCACAATAGGAATGTTCGAAGCATAAATTGGATAATCAGATGATATCCAAATATAGCATGCTCATAGTCGAATCTAACAACTCGACGAGATGAATCCAACAAGCCCAAGATTGCTTAATTATGACATCATTTGAGTATATAAATTTTTGACAAATGCTCTATGATCGAGGCGGTTAATATGGACCATCCGACGGAGAATTTTTAATTTGCTCCAGATCTTCTCTGTATTTATTGGACACGCCACTCTAAAAATTTATAAATAAATAAATAACTCTCACTTCTCATATGAAAGAGGGCTTGGGCCTTTCCAAGCTTGAGCTTTTGGCTCGAGATTAGAGAGCTCCACTCTTCAAGAATCCTATTGTTCTACAACACTACCCTCGTTGAACTTCCGTAAACATCCGTTGAACCACTTACCATCATTGAATCACCGCCCGTTCTCAAGCGCCACCGGACATTTACCTGGCTTCTTTCCGTTGTAGGACCTCTCCCCAGCAATCTACCCTCGCCCAACCAACGTCTGTCCATGTTGTTGGATATCCGCCAGTTGTTCACCGTTGCCAGACCACAACCTAGCTTCCATCGATACAACACTCCGACTACTATCACTTGACGACTCCGGTCCCTCCACCACCGTCACTTGCCTACTATGATCCAACTTACCACCGACGCCCACCGACTACGATCCCTCATACCACCAGTGCATGCAGACTACAATTGGTCAGACCACTACTGTTAGCCCACTATGATTTCTCTGATTAACATCACCCTCTGACTATGGTCCCTCTAACATCTATAGCTTGTCGTCCCTCCCACCATCGTCACCCACCAACTACGATCCCTCATACATCCGTCACCTACAATTTTTGGTCCCTCCAACCAACATCACCCTTTGACTATGGTCCAACCTCCATCACCCTTTGATTGTTGCAATCCCTCTGACCTCCATCACCCGCCCTCCATGATCACCCTCCTACTACGATTCCTCCGAACTCCATTATCGACGACTACAGTCCTTCTGACATTAATCGCTCAATGACTATAGTCATTCTGACCTTCATTGCCCACCGACTACGGTCCTTCAGACCTTAATCATTCACTGATACAGTTTATAAGACTTTTGTCATCAGACTACGGTCCCTCAAACCTCCATTCCCCGCCGACTAAGGTCCCTCCGACGTCTATCACCCATTGACTATGGTCCCTCCAACCACTGTCACTCTATATGATGTATATTTTCTATAACAAGCCATGTCCATTCCCCTAAGGAAAGGCCTCATTTGTAATATGTAATAAACATCAATGTAATCATTTTAACTGGGCCAGGACCGTGATTTTTCTCTTTTCATGATTCTCCACATAAAAAAATTGGTGTCTCTTATTACTAATCTTATGCCCCTCTCTTATCTGTCTACATGTTGATCTTCGTTCAAAATTTGTAAGATAAACTCTTTATTTCTCTAAAGAAACAAATATTCCAGTCCAAAACAACCTCCAAATTACTTTCATGTCTATGCAGAATTTATATCTCTTGTAGACCTTATAATTATTCACCTTAGTAGCTTTTCTCATAAAAAATATATATAGTTTTAATTATAAGTTTTGGTTGTTTGTAAAACTCCAGCAATAATTTATTAAAATTTTTATGAAACCCAATGCTCCCATAATTTAAAAGAACTTTAAAATTTTAAATAGTTAAAATACTACCCATATTGATTAAAATTATTATTGATCACAACTCCATTGATAAGCTTAAAAAAATATGATAGATAGAACTTAATTTAAGAGGAACAATTATCGAGTTAGCTCATGACTTCCTCTTCCTTTTATCTTTAATCAATCATGGAGCCATTTCATATCAATTTGATCGTTTTGCTTCAACTTCTCTCATCTTTTCTGTTTTTCTTTTTTTCAGGTTCAAAAACGATTCATAAAATGTTCTAAATAAGTTCAATTTTATTAAATATTAGATAATATGTAGAATCCTTGCTCTAGAGAGGAAGCACTTCCTACATGAGCTTCTTGAGGAGGAGGAGGAGGAGAGGGAAGAAGAAGAGTGAGAGATGCAGAAAATTTTATTTCTCTTGGCCTCCTATTTCAACCTAAAAAGCTCCTATATATAGACTCCTAAAGTTATACAAATAGCTACACTATTGGTCATACATGCCAAACAAGAAACCTAATACTAAAAATAATCCTAAATCTAGGAACAAATATCTAACAATCTCTATTTTGGTCCTAGATTTACACAACAAAAGATAATCATTGTTCATAAAGAACAACCAAAAAAACAACCCTGCCGATCTCCTCCGCCAAAAGCGTCCACCGATAGTTAATAACTTTCTCAAGGCTTGCTCCACCATCTTCTTGAGTTTCCTTCTTCAAAAGATCTAGCTCCACCTCCTGACAAATTTTCACCTGTCGCACTGCGTCCAACGCAGTCAATTCCCAAGCACCCTGTGCCCCTCTTCCGCATCCTGTGCATCCACCAGCACCTTGCACCTCGTGCCCGTGCCCTGCGCTTCCAGCCCGCGTCCAACGCCTCCAGCTCGCGCCTTGCACTCATGTGGTCTATCTCCAACCACATCCTTCACGTATCCACCAGTGCAGCGAGCCTTGTTATAGTTGCCAGTTACTATAGCAAACGGTTACTATAGCAATCTATTTTTGTAGTGTCGGGTTTTAACATATTTTTAGTACAGACAATCTGATTTAGAAGTTTTTGTGGTCTTCGAAACCATTTTTTGACCTTCCAAACTCTATGTCGACATTTTCAGAGTTTAGTGGAGCCTCTACAGTGAAATTCGAGCAATTTTTAAAGTTTTAAAATACCATTTTTTTATTTTTTTTTCTCCAATTGATGCACCAACTTTAGGACACACTAAATTTGTCATGAATGATATTTTATTTGATTCATGACCCTGATATGAGGTCCACATTGACATCTAGTAGGCTGCACCTCACAATTAGCTGAAAATTATAATTTTGCAATTCAATTAGCTTAAAATACTTTGACATATATTTTAGACTCTGTTGAATTCAATGTTCAAAATTTTGAGGGAATTTGATATATCATCCAAAATTTTCTTTATCAGACATGGATCTCGAGGCCAATTCGCAGTGGAAACTTTAAAAATTAAATCCAGGTTCCATCTAAACTCTGATTTCAGTAAACTTATAGTCCAATTAAACATCTCGAAAAGATTACCCAGCAACACCAAATTCAATCGAATCCGAGTCCAAAAGAGTCCAAATCAAAGACCCAAAATATTTTTGGTATGTTCAAATCACAAATTAGATGACCAAACGATTTCCAAAAACATGACATGCTTGTAGTCGAATCGAGTGGCACAACGAGATGAATCCAACGAGCCCAAGTTCACCAATTATTTTTTATCATTAAGATTTTTATATATTTAATAAATGATCTACAATCAAGAGAATCAGTATAGACCATCCAATAAAAATACACCCAACATACCCTTGATCTTTTCACTGTTTACTGATAATGCCACTCCCAAAAAATAATAAATAAATTGTTCATTCTTCATTTGGGGGGGGGGGGGGGGTAAAAAAAGAAAAGAAAGAGGGGCAAATAAGAGAAAGAAGAGAGGAGAAGAAAACACATCTAAGATTTCTCTTGCCATCAAACTTTTCCTCGACCACTGCCTAACAACTGATTGTCGTCGGACTTTTTCCAGACTTTTACCTTACCACCGATTGTCTCCTAACTTCCGCCCAGCCATCAACTAATGTCGAATTTACACCCAGCCACCGACCATCACCATAATTTCGTTAGACTTCAGGACAATCGCCATTTTTTGACAAACTTATGCACGACCATTGAATGTTGGTGGTTTTCGTTCTGATCTTCATCGCCCATTTACTATGGTCCTTCCCACCATTGCACCTGACTACGATCATTCCGACTATCATTGCTCAAGTGCAATATTTCTAACCTTTATCATCTACTGACTATAGCCTTTCTGACCTCCATTATCCACCAACTACGATCCTTCCTACCACCTAACTACAGTCTTTCAGACCTCCGTCTCCCACCTACCACGGTCCTTTCGACCATCACCACCCGACTACTTCCTTTCAGACCTTCCTCGTCATCAACTACGTTCTTTCTCACCCACTTCACCTAACTTGAGTCTTTCTTTCCTCGGTCACCCAAAGACTATAGTTCTTTCGACCAACATCTCTTGACTACAGTCTTTCTGACCTTCACTGTCCGTTAACTATGAACCTTGCGACCATCATCGCCTGACTATTGTTCTTTCAACCTACATCACTTGGCAACTATGGTCATGCCGACCAAATGAACATGTCAAGACTGATTCTTCCAACTCCCACCATATAATGCACTCTAAATAGTGTATATTTGTTACATCAAGCCAAGGCCCTCTTCTCAAGGAAAAGCCTCCTTTGTAATCTGCTACGAACATTAGTGTATTTATACAAATTGGGTCAAGCCTCGTGGGTTTTCCCCTCATTTGAGGGGTTTCCTTACAAAAACCTGTGTCTCTTATAAATGCTACAACCCTATTGTTTATCTATCTATGTGTTGGATTTTCTTATAAAACTCGGATGTTAAACTTTATATTTCTCTACCGCCGTAA